CCAGCATTGAGACAATCCAGTATTCTCATGACAGAGGTGATTTTGTAGATCACCCCCTTACCCAAAATGCTAACGAAGGAAGTCGGGCTGTTCTGAAAGAGCTCAGTTAATAAAAAGGGGAGTGAGGTCAGTGTGCACGATCCCCGTTCTACTCACACGGAACCTGCTTGTGTGCTTCAGCCTGGTCAAGGTGTTTAACCAGCCCGATCAGCCAGCCTGACCTTGAGCAAAGCCTCAGTCTTGCTCTTCGTTGACACATTTCTACTTGCCTTCTACGCTCAGTGATTCGCAGTGACAGTGTTCGTGCTGCACGGCGGTGGTCAGCTTTAACTGAGATTGAAATATCCTTGAAGAAAAATTCCCCATTGTAATTGTTCACCTGACTGTTGCATTGATTTATGGAATATAACCCCGAACTGAAAATGTTATATCTCCACGTTCTGTGGGTGCATGTTGTATAGCCAGTGCAAGTTTTCGAACACCCCCCTTTCTAAGCCAGCACTTTCTGTGGGGCCTCACCTTTCAACTAATGAAGTGAGGGAGCATCCTTTTAGCAGAGAAAATGCCCTTTCCCCTGGTTTGACACCCCTCCGCATTTGAAGAGTGTCATTGCTTGTCCCATAAAGCAAACAGCTCAGCCTCCTCTTATCCCAGCAAGCACTGCTGTCTCCTCGCCATACGGGCACGCCTCAAAACCAGTTCGACCAGCGCAACGTCAGTCACGAAGAGCGCCATCCCACCCCTGTGTGTGAAAGTCACGAGTGGGCCACGGGGGATGGCACTGAGTAGCAGCAGCAAAGTCCTTTCCCTCCCTCCCGGAGCTTTGGGAAATGTGGTTTCTGCCTGCAGGTAAAGGTTGCTAGTTTCCACTGACGTAACCCGGTAAAGGTCACACTTGTTTAATGAAAGAAGACTCGATCTGACCCGTGTACTGTTTCCCTCCTCCAGGGAGCATTATTGGCCACCGAGAAGCATGTTCATATTTTTTTAAACACACACTCTGGGGGGGGGGCTGGTAAATTTTGTGACTTTGTGGTCTACGTAGAGTTGTCTTTTGGCAACGGTGATTGTTTGACTTCAGGTTAGTGTTTGGTCTGTGTGTGATGTAGAAATAATAACAACATCATAATCCTTATGATGTTAATACTATTTTAATTATAATATGATTATACTAATAATATAATTAATGATAAAATTCATAATAGTGTTGTCTGAATATTAGCACAGGGGATCAAATGTTTCCCATCCTTCTGGGGGATTCTAATATTCTTCTGCGTGGATAGTGTCTAAAGAACCCCAGGGGTACCCAGAGCTTTGGTGGAGAACTACTGTTATGTAGAGTCTGAGTGCTGTGGAAATGTCTGGGTGACCGAAAGCCCACTTTGTGGGGCCTCACTGACATCTGTCTGACACATTTCCAGTCAGGTGGGGTTTTGCTTGTTTGGTGGTGACTGAGGAATCGAGAGGAATACCCCCCTGCACTGTCTGAGCTGAAGACTTATCTGCTGGTTACTGTATTTTATAAAATGCTATGTGTAGTTATAACAGTATTTTTTTGTAATGTACTTTTAAATCCAGTTAATTATCTTGTATTATCCTCCTATTATTTAGAGCCCCTAAATGCTAAATAGTTCACCCTGGATTATAATGGCAAGCATTATTATTAGTGTCATTAATCTGAGTATTAGAAATACTATTATGCAGCGGACATATGTATGAACTGCTGGTCCTCTTCGGCTGTCACACATTTGGTAGTGTAACGTGTGCGAGGAAGACAATCTGTTAACTCCGCTGTCAGAGGCGAGAGCGCTGTGTGAAACTGATCCCGGAACCCACAACACTGACTGAAGCCTGACAGCCTTTCCCGTTGGCAAATGTAGGCTATATGGATTTAAGTCAATAATGTGTTATTTAAGAAATCTGGTATGAAGGGTGAGGAGCAGGAAATAGGAATTGTTTTTGGCCTGTCCTTAAGATTTCTCGCAAAGAGGGCGTTAAGATTCATTGCGAAAAGAAAAAGTATTCTTTTTGGTGTGACCCAATCTGCTAAACCTTAAAAAAGGAAAGGATACAAGAATACCTCAAAAGAAAAATGGAGCAAAAAAAAACCCCGAAAAAATAAAATGTTTGTATTTTCCTCCCAATTCTCAAAATCCCTGAGGTGTGCCTGTCAAGAGCAGGCAGCGTGGAAGAAGATACTTTTTTTCCCTAGCTGTTAGGATGGTGTCAGTCTTTCACGCTGTGCAGCCGGTGGAGCAGCGGGGTTTGGGACTCGGGGAGGGGGTGAAGGAAGAGCTCGGAATCACTAATACTCCTTCAAAGACTGCTGAGGGTGAGACAGGCACTAGCTGGTGACGAGCCCGCCGCCTGCCTTCTGGTCCGCCTCGCCGCTCGCTGTGGCTCCGCCGGCAGACGGGGAGGTGTGAACCTGCGCCCCCGAGCTGGCCAGCGTCACTTCATTAGCGTGCCTGAGGGCGCTGTTTGTTTCTCCGGCGGTGGGGCTCGGGTAACTCATTAGCGAACGGAATCAGATTTTAATTGCGTTTAGCATGTTCACGAGAGTCACATTGACGTGGGGGGATTTCAGTCCCGGTCTCCAACGCGTTTGCATCATTAGCTAGCTGGCGAGTGTTTCTGAACATTTGACGAGGTTGGTCGATTCTGTTTATTTTTTTTTCTTCTGAAAAGTAAAAGGCGAGAACTGGGGAAAAAAAATAATCCTGAACAATCCCCACTGCCCATTCTGGCATGCAAAAAAAAGGTCTGGATGGAAAGGTTTTACTTTAATATTTATAGAATTGATTATTTGCTGGGGTCAACAAACATCTCACTCATCCAAATGACACTTTCCCATTCAACGTTCCCCAAGAAACCACATAAATAATAAAAATTGCCTTCACTTCATCAAACATCCTGGAGTCTCGGCCATTGATTTCTGAATCTGAATTTTGGTGATACAGTTCTGTATGCTGTGTAATGAAATCCAACTCCTGGGGAGCTTCCATTTAAATTGTATTTATATTACTTTCTTAAATACACATAGTCATGAAGACAGTTAATGGATGGTCAAGAATTTAACAAAATACTGCACAGGGACTTTTTTTAATTTGAGAAGGGTTTGTTTTGCTCCGTGCAGCCTGGTGTGCTTTCCGGCATTTTCCTAAAGATAGCTCCGGCCTCTTTAATTCAGGTCCCTTGAATGGCACCAGGAAGCAGGGTGAAATCACAGCTCCACAACCTCTGTAGTCCTGACTCAGACCATTGTGTCTTTCTTCATAGGCCTTGCCACCTCCCGTTGAGCGCAGGCGAGAGAGAGAAAGAACTGGGACACAAGATAGTTCTGTACAGATTTGGTTGTAAAAAAGAGATTTTTAAAGGATATTGTTTGTGTAACTTGTGGCCTTCTGTTAGAACTCCCAGTACTGTGCCTTTTGTACACACAAAGCAGTGGGTTTGTTGGAGTATTATTGGGTTCCTAAACTACGTCTTGTTAGGCTGTGTGTTATGTGCAGGCCAGCAGCTGACTGGTTCCAGAGGGGGAGCAAATATAATCACAGAAGCACTGAGGACCCTGTTCTTCGAAAAGAAGCTTTGATTTTTGCTCCACATCCAATTAATTTGTCAACTCCTCAAAGGGTATTTCACACTACCTTTGATGTCTTCAAATTTTTAAGAGAGAGAGGGGGCCACTGAGGGTCTTCATTAGTCACACATTTTACTATCTCTGCATTAAACGTGTGACTAAACCTCTGCTCTGAGTTTTCTGGCCCAAGCCTCTTGCGCTCCGACTGCAGTTGGTCAAAATAGGGACCTCCGAGATGACGATCTGCAAAACCGTATTGTTTTTCCCATTAAAGTGACAGAACCCCAGGAAGTGGAGCCGAAGCTCAAGACTTTGCTTTTGCTTCTGCTATGCCCCTTCCACCTTGATGAGGTCCAGATGTTATTGTCTTCCTTAATGAGGAGCTGAAACGTCTGCTGGGAGGTTCAGAGGCAGCTATTAGGAGCAGAATAAACAATTACCCCCCACAGCTGTTAAGCTGTTGGCACCTTTTAGACCTTGGATGATAATAGGTTTGAGTTAGTTACAGAAAATGAAGAGGTTAGCTGTTGACAAGAACTTGCATAAAGATGGTTAATGGGAGCAGGGAGTAACAGTTCTCCCATGAGCGTTCTTATTGCTAGGTATCCTTTATGCCTAAAATTTGGAATGTCGTTGTTGTTTAATGAACATGGACTTTGCTGATAATATTAATGTATAAAAGGAAAAAAAGCTATAAAATCACCCTCTCCTCCCAAAAAAGCAATTATCGTGGCTTAAAATAATCTTTTTGATTAAGTGTTTAAGACAGTATTCAGAGCAAAACCATTGTTTCACAGCAATGCTCTCAATACTGTCTTAGATATTTAATCATTGTATAATGCATGAGGCTATTTATAATTAACATCGAGGGATTAGCCCAGAAAGCCAAAGTAAAAGCTTTGTTTTAAATCTCCCTCAGGGTTTTTTCTGTCATTCAAAACCGCGTTCTGAAACTGACCATCTAAAAAGCCCCTGGAAAGACCTGCAGTTTGTCTGCCTTAAAATGTGCAAGTCGTCAGATGTGAAGAGTATTACGAATGTTCCTTGACTGGCATTGAAAATGTGTCATCTGTTAAATGTGTAAAAATACTTTTTGTAGTCTTTTTCCTTTGCTGGAATAAGAATTGTAAAGAGATGTTTGGGAATGAGCAGCAATGTGCTTCCTTTCAAGGCAAATGGCCTTTCAGCAGGTCCTGTAGGAATGGCAAGAGCTGAGGGCTGAAACACACATGTGCTCAATGTGCTTGACACATGCAGTTTTCCAGCTGTACAGGTAATGGGGAGAGTCACACATTGTTTCCTTCCACTGTTCTATTGCACTGTGACCTCTAGGATCACCTCTGCGACTGATCCCGAAACAGTACACAAAGCGCTTCCTGTCTGTAATGTAACTTCATCACCTTTTCCTCTTTTTCAGGCCTTTCTGCATAGGATTCAACAGACACCTCATGATCAGCTGTGCTTATCTGAAGAAAATGTTAAGGTAAGAAAAAAATGCTTATATTTACTCTCTTGTTTTATTCCCAGCTTGTAGAAAGTGTAACTTCAGCTTGCACTTAAATAAGAGCATAAAAGAGGCTGCAGGTGAGTTTGTTGAGCCTCACTCTTCTGGCCAGGAGGTTGTTAATGATCCAAGAATCCGTCATCGCTCGAGCAAGGCAGCTCCCAAAACAGGACTCGGCCGTTTCTCTCATCAACACGCAGTCCACAGCTTTAATAGGCATCAACATTCTCAGTTTTGAAATGATCTGTCCTTTATTTACATTGATGCCTCCTTGAGCTCCAGTCTGTGCTGAATTTAAATAACAGGCTGGCGTTGACTTTGTCTGCTCCTCTTAAAGTTTCAGAAACATCAGTCAGATCCAGCTGAATCCTTCAGCAGTTGATGTCTTAGGGCTACCAGCTGAAATTCTGCCGAGATTGTATCACCATAGAATATCTAGGGGAATGCAAGGGAGGTAGGGGAATTGATAAAACTCCAATTATTTTTTTCTGCAAATTTGCACCACAAATTTGTGTAAAGGTGGGGAGAGGGCTAAACATTTCCTTTTGTTCCGGGTGAGTCAGTCACTTTCACTTCTTATAACAGGAGTGTTGAGTGAGTTTGGATTTTCCGAGCAGTTTTTCTTGATGTACATACATTTCTTGATGTGTTCAGGCTTCTAAATACTAAAGAGCAAATTTCAACTGAATGATCAAAGATTATGGAGAACAAGTTGACAAAATCAACCAAAATTGACAAATTGACACCCAAAGAAGGCTCCACAGCCGAAAAGTTGAGTTTCTTTTCTTTTCCGCCTGGAATAAACCTGTACGTGTTTCTTGACAAAATCATTACCTCAAAATGGCAACAGAGTTTTATTTCTCTTTAAAGAATTTCTCTTTAATTGCGTTTATGTGACAATGTTTGTTTGTCTTCTGTCCTGTTTAAATTTGTACTGTATATGTTGTATGTATGTCTCATCAGTTGTCTTTTTTGTTGTACAGAAAGCAAATTCCACCAACTATTGTTGTGTGGCAATAAAGAATAATGAATGAAATGGATGAATGAATTTAATGTTTATGGCATGTGCAAGGATTGTCTTATACCAAAACAGAAGCATTCAAATATCTTGGACATCTTCATGGACAGTACACCAAAGGAAAACACACCAGCGTACTGATTTCCAGATTATTGTCTGTATAAGATAAAGCAGTGTTATATGTTCTAACTCAATCCAGATGGGATGGAATGTTGTCCTAAGTTTTCTGGGCGGAATAGATGACCTCATTGCTGGTTATAATACGTCAGACACAAGATCCTTCAGTTTAGCAGTGCCTACGTATTCTTCTAAAGAGTCATTTGTATCAAAGAGATGAAATAGTGTTTGCATAGTGAACAGCATATTCGTTTTGTATATACAGCTGAGGTTTGGCTGTTCTTTCGCATGTGGAGAAGAACTGTATCATCACAGAATGTTGCAGGCACACACATGTAGAGACAGCCAGTGGCAAGCATTTCATATTAGGCGCTTACAAGATTTGATGTTTTATTTATCCCTAAATCATTGAAACAGTTCACATCTTCATGAATCATACGGTCAATTTGCTTTTCAGCAGGAAGTTAACTTAGCTATAAAATGTATTCTAAACATTGGGCATGAGCTATTAGCTAAATACCACACTGTAGACAACCGGAGAAAAAAGGCACAGCAGAAAAAACATACTGGAGGGCAAATTGTGGCTTGTGTTCAGGTCAGTCGTCTCGTGCCATTAACCACACCGTGCGGCCTTGAAAGACGTAATGTAATTCCAGTTGTGGGGGAATCAAAGCCAGTAGCTGCAGGCTGAAGTAGTCATACCTGCTCATAAACTACAGATTGCTAGATTTTATGTGAGACGTTCGTCTGCTGTATGCTGTTGCTATCCTTGTCAACCGGAAGCGCTCTCACATGAGGCCTGACGAGTTTCAGAGGCTAAACTGAGACGGCTTCCCCCCAGTGAAGCAAGCAGAGGTTCTTTTTAAAACTGTACTGCAGTACACTAGAGAGGACACTGATGTACAGTTATGTATGGAGAAAGGGGGACAATACTGCGCAGTTGAAGAGAACTATGGGCTGCCTTTAAACCGCAGCAGCATCAATATTAATGAGATGGTATGGGATTTATGGCACGGTATCTCAGGGAGAGACCAGATGGGGAAACAGTCCAATCATTGTACCATGTTACTGGGGGCTTTGAGCTTTTTTTAAGTAACCGGAAAAGCTGAGTTCCATTGGTGTGAGCTGCCATGAAATGTTTTTTTTTAATGAAAGAAATAGCATCTCACAAGCAGCCTGTTTTTCTCTCTCTCACCCTTATCATACAAGATTCTGTTTTCCAACATCGAGGACATTCTGGAAGTTCACAAAGAGGTCTTGGCAGCCCTGGAGTCCAGTTTACAGCCAGAACCACAGCCACAGCATGAACTGGGCCAAGTTTTCCTCAAGTTTGTGAGTATAACGTCTTCATACAGCCCCTGTGAAAGCAACTTAACCCTTCCCTATACCCTGGGGTGTTTTTCAGCCAAATGTGGGCATACTGTTGATTTCCATAATGCCCCACCCCCCCACTGCCTCCATCACACCCAAAACCCTTGTTAGTTTTACCATGGCAATGTGTGAGCTTCTCCATGCACAACTATCTGCACTGTCATGTGGGAAGAGGGCATCCTCATCGACTGTCAGCACACAACATGACAAGAATAAATCAAAATGCTGAAAACGAACACGACAAGAAGGTTTTCACGAGTGCAAGTCATTTCCTGAAGTGACAAATACTTTTTTCGTTCAGAAGCCAGAATTTTGATTCATCCTAATTTCCTCTCAAACCAGAAATGGCATTTTTCAGTAGCAGTTTTGAGAATGACAGGAATATTTGATCAAATGTGACTTTCTAAAATGCTCTTTCTCAGACAAAAGTCTCTGACAAAAGATAAGAACGGAGTTGTGACTGGTCAGAGTTACGTTCATAATCTCTAACATTTAAGTCGTAAACTGTGGTTTTTGCATCTGTTCAGTCCAGTAAAGGAAGTGGGTTGACATTTAGAAAAACAATAAGGGGGCCATATTCATTAACTGCGAATATCATGGTGTGCTTGGTAATGCCTGCATATTTGAATTGCTAATAAACGTCATTTCACTGTGCAGAAGAAAGAAATGACTATTAGTATTTAAATTCATGGAGATGAAACAGTAAATTAAACAATTATTTTACATTAAAGATTTGCTGGTATGTTGAATGTGTGTAGGCCACTGGTCTAAATATTCACTTAAAATATAATGTCGCAGGTTGCATGATGTTTATAGTGTTGTCCCTTTAAGGCTGATATTTATTTTAGAAGATCTATAGTAAATAATGTGATCGTAATGCTTGGCGTTGCTAGGTGACAAGATTCTAGAAGCAGGAAGAGTTCAGGCTCCAGTTACGTAGGCATAGGAGAGATGGGAGGGAGTGTGGATTTATCTTTGTTTTAATGCAACAAGACACAGTTGAGGGAAAAGTAAAATTCCCTTTTCCCCTCATGTTTTTGGATTTGATTTTACCATAGCCCTAAAAGACAATAATTCCGCATAATTATACATTACATAAAAGACAAGTGGACATCCTAAAATAATACTCACAAAAATGACTGATAATTCAGGATAATTGTTTATTTCCCATCTCCAGCAGTGCCTGGGAGGATTAGGCTGAAAGTGTCCACTGGATTCTTAATCCACTGCACAACCCTGACGTCTGCAGCCAGGGATGGTCTCTGCTTCACTGGACATTGCTGGGATCAGGGTTTTTTTAGTGAGGTGGCCAGTGAGCAAATATAAACCAGCACAAAGGTGCTTGGGAAGGGGGGCGTGTCCTCCATGTGTCTTTCATCTTCATTTCCTATGCTTCTGGTCATGTGAACCGGTGTCTGTCCATGTGAGGGCAGGCTGGGGTGGGTGGCTTTCTACATCTGCCTTCCCACCAGTACTGGCATCCCAATAGCAAAAGGCCCATGATTGTGTCCCAATTTCCAGCACAGGAGCGCCAAGCACAGAGAAGAACAGGCAGGCATTCTGCAGCATGTGTCTTGAGCTCCTGTGAGGGAAAGCTAGCTGGGTTAGTCTGTGAGTGATCTCCAACCATCGGTTTGTCTCAGTGGTGGGACTGATGGTGTCTACGGTGGAGCATGAAAGTTACGGCCTCTTTTTAATGCCCACCAGATTGCAAGCAATGGCTTCCTTTGCAAAACCAGCTCGGCTGGTGTGTTAGCAGGAGAAGTTTAATGAACAAGGGCAAACATAGAGACACAAAGGGCAGTCCAGACAGGATCGCATGAAGACAGACAGATAAGAGGCCCTTGGTTAAAAGGAAGCAAGGTAAATACTTGGTGAAAGAGGAGGATAACTTTTTCACTCTGTCATCTGGCCCTGAAATTGGTATGGGAATCTTTTGCAGATGATCTGCCTACTAATGCCTTACAGTTTGAATCAGCAGCTGCTTATACTTAGCAGGCAGAATTCTGCAAACCTCCAATTCTGTGGCCTTTTCATGTATAAAGGGGGAACTCCCCCAGTAAAAAGTTTTTCTCACAGTATAATTTTTGAATGCATCACTGTTTCTGGGCACAATTACAAAGTAGAAGAAAATAAATCAATAATTACCTGGTATACAATGACGCTGTAATGCCTTTTTTGTAATGACTATGCAATGTTCATTCAGTTCTGTATTTAAAAATAGCCCCAGGGTTAATGGAATCAGGTGGAAGCTCCATATAAGATAAGATCACTTTATTAGCCATATACAATTTCTTGCATTAGGAGTTTGTCTTTTCACATACCTTAGCTTGCTCTCCATGAAACACACAGGCACACATACAGGGAGAGAGAAGCTTGGGGCCAGCCATTTATACGGCACCCCTGGAGCAGTTAGGGCTAAGGGCCTTGCTCAGGGGCCCAATGGAGTAGGATTCCTCTGCCAGCTGCAGGAATTGAACCGACAACCTTCAACATCCACAGGCTCAGATCCTTAGATCAGTGCCACTGCTCCGTCCCTCATGTGTCACTGGTAGCGTTACTGCTGCTTCTTATCCTGCTAGATAGGTTTTGAAAGAAACCAAAACAGAATTTACTGATTAGTTTGAACTTTTAGTGGCTCAAAGACGAGTCCTTAAAGAACTGATGTCTGTGACCCATATACACATATACTGTATGTCACAGTAAGGTGTTTGTCCATTCATCTTTATCTAATGGAGGATCACAGCGGAGCCGGAGCTTATCCCAATACATTTCAGTAAATTCAGTTGGCACCCTTATAAATACATGTACTTTATTAATGTCTACTTTAAAATCCAATAGAGAATAAAGATTTATACATTTTCTCTCCATTAATTCATACTGGTCAATACATTATGACCAAGTCCATAATCCTTTTGGGTTTCAGAATGTACATACTGTAGTTTTTCAACTGTAGTTGAATTCTGATCTGAGAAGTTGACGCATGAGGTTGTTGCTGTTAGAGGAACTGGTGGACCTGCAAATGGTGCCCCTAGACCAGAATGTCTAGTCCACCAGCCCAGTATGATGAACAGGGACACTTCTCTGTTGGAGGTGCAGTCCTTTAGCTAAGATGATAAACTTAGCCCATGACTACATGATCATTTATGTCCCTACTGTTCATGAGAGTAGGGAATGTTCCCCACATATCCTGAGATTGTCTGTATTTACCAGTGACAGAAATAGTTGTAAATGTCACACTGAAAGTAGAAAGATGACCACCTCTGGGTGTGTGAAAGAAGCTAAAATGTTCTTTTGTTCTATTTCTTTAGTGTGTAATGAACCTTAACTTGTTCCTTTGCTACTCACATATTGGCCCAGCTCCGCAATCAAACCTCTATGTGTAACAATACTTTGTGGGTTGGCTTCCCACTGTTGTTAACCTTTCTGAATGCCAATATGTATCATTTCACCAGAGAGCTCAGATAAAATGAGAAACAGGCTTGGTGAGGGAGGCTCTGCTCTAGTCTAAAAAATATATGCCTTGTGACTTGTGTGTGCCCCAGTTAAAGCGTATAATGTACATATGCTGGTCAGTTCAGCGCAGTCTAACCCAGACAGTGTGGCATATGGCAGAATAGCTTTGCCATATTGTTCCCTTATTTGTTACACCATGCAGTATTGATTCCACTGGGAGAGCAACAGCAGGGTTTGACTCCCAGGAATCCTGATATGGCGCATTGACCTTGTGATGCAATCCCACTGTTCACAGCGCGCCCCGGTCCGCTCCATAGCCCTGCCTTACTCTCTGTTGATTGGCCCGTCAGCCGACGCCTGTTCTCATATTGTTTGGAGCGGGTCAGTGTCTGATTACATCTTCATCTGCTGGGGAAACAGGATCAGAGGGCTGTCTGGGAACAGTTCCACACTCCAAAGCTATCACGACCTGCAATCTGTGGCCAGGTGCTCCAATCTGAGTGATGACACCCCTTCTGGATTAATTGTATCCGTCTGTTGTCTCTGCCCCTTGACCCATCCTTTGAGAAAATTCCCAGTGGAGCTGATGCTTTATACTTAATTGACTCTTTAATATAATTCCAGAGATGATCTATTTTCTATCAGGAGAAGGAGTCTGGGCTTAATTCACCACGTTCCTAATAGAGTGGCCTCCGGTTTCTTTTGTTGTAGACTTAAGTAGCTGCTTATAAATACTTCACACGTTTGTTTGCTTTCTGTCCTCCAACACATCGCGGTCGTTTGCCTTTACTTCGTACGGATTTAAGTTATATGCATCTTTTTTATAAGATAAAATCTAAAGATTTTCTCTTCATCTGACATAGGGGGAAAACATTCATGGACACCAGAGCAATGAAATATGAATTAGTTTCAATTAATGATGTTAGCAGTTGCTGCAAGCTAAAGTCATTATGTTGCTCAGTGATTTGCATTTATTAATTTGGGATTTTTAAAAGGATGAAATATATAAAAAATAGATGTTCTAGTTGAGTTTAGGAATTATATTATGGTGTTTACATAGGGGAAGATGCGTTTACTTGCTTCCTTTGATAATTTTAAGCTGTTGCCATGTACATTTTGCTTTTATTTATGGCTTTTTTTTGTGAAGTTCTAAGTATGATTATTTTTAGAGTTTTACTTGGCTTGTTGAAGAACGTTTCCAACCCCTTGGGATTTTTCAATAATTGCATTCTTTTTCAACTTTCCAAAATGCTACCACTGTTCATGTAAAGACTTGAATGCCCCCAAAGTGAACTTGGTTCGCGTGTTTTAAGGAGACATTACATGCAGAACATTAATATCAGTCCTGTTTGCAAAAATAGCCTGACCTATACCACCAGTCCCAGTAGTATATAGGCTTTATTGTGGAGAATATAAGTATGCTTTTTGTGAGCTACAGTACTACTCCAATTTATTTGAAAATAGCTGCAAAGTATCTGAGTTAAGCAACTCAAGAGCATGTGCAAGCAAACATTTGTTGAAAAGCACAAACACATTCTTTGTGCTATTTTCGGCATAATTTCAAGGTTTCTGTTTCGTCAGTCCTTCAGGACATTTTATAGCAATTTCTCAAAAAAACAAATGCCCCGTTCAGGTGAACTTGTTAAGTTCAGGTTAAAGGGATATCTTGCTGTCAAAACCATGTCTAAAATCTGTGACTTACTTGGGAAACCACACACTGAATTTTGGCTCAATATCCATGCTGTGGCGGCAGATATATTTCAGTCCATCTTTTGACTTGCAATGTCTGTCTGGGTGGATTATGCAAGTAAAGAGCGCCTTTCATCTCAGCCTGAGATTTTTCTCCAAGAAGAAATAAAAAAGCCTTTTCATCTCTTTCCTCAGCCACCTTCATTTCCTGATCTTCTTAGCTTGCCTTTCTTCTGAAACGTAAAGCATAATTTCCTTACCTTTCAAAGGTTACAAAATATGGAAAGTGTGGTTGGAATCACACAGAAGTAGGCAGCTTTGCTAACGTCATATCTCTGTGTTTTAAGTCCTACACTTAGTTTTTCACTGCTGCCCGTTAGTACAACATCTGAAGCCTGAAACTGTTGGTCTTTGTAACAAAGTCACAAGCACTGAAGAGTGCCATTGTCCTAAATAAAATACCTTATATCTTCCCCCACACACAAATGAATGATGTCTAATAAGGACAGTCTGCAAACACTGTGGAAATATTCTAACGACCTGCAATTCAAATTGTGCGTTTTCATTACTTTGTATCTCTTAATAAATAGTAAAAATGTAGCAGAAAAAATGTAGCAAAACAGGTCAATACTGAAAATACTGAAAACACTTGATGCAAAAATGTCTTAATTGTGGAAAAGTGATCAATTTTAGTTAAACCAGTCATCACTAAAGGTCATAATAAAACAGCAAAAATGTACGTTTGAATTGACTGTTATGCTAAATCAAGAAGTGTTTTTTACAGAGAGTTTTTTACAAAAATGATTGCGCATGTGTGTGTATATTTAGAGCTGTAATTATCTTAAGTATGATAACTGTTATAGCTGAGATGGTTATTATGGTGGTGTCATACCCTACATTAAGTTATAAAGCTTCATTTTATCATACAGACAGGGCTGGATATATCAGTGTTGGATTCATATGGATCTGCACTTGGGAAAAGTATTTTCTTATCTGTTAATTTAAACAGCTTGATCTGGTGCTCTTTTAATTTTTAATGGACCTTGGTTTAGGACATATGTCAGGACAGATGTTCCAGCAGAAAGATAAAGCAGGAAGTGCTTTATCTTTCACATGTGAAAGCTCTTCCTCGTGAAATGCTTCTTATCCTTGGACAGTGTTTATTACAGAAACACAGAGAAATATTTTGCTATTGTGTGAACGTGAGATAATGGAATATTGCACTGAACCTAATGTAACTGATTCTTTGATACTTTCCAGTGCCAAATGTCTAACGCATTTGATACACTGTAGTGTATCGCGTGATACAGATGAATGGATATTAGTCTATTCAATTATTCTACAGTTTAGTTTGCTAAATATCATTCTGGTAAAATCTGATTCAGAACAGATTCAAACATGTGCTACCTGACATGTATGCTCTGAAACATTTTTAATTTATTATCTCTCTCTTGATGGCTGTTAATTTTCATTTTAGATTAAAATTGCATTCAGAATGTAAAATATAGAATCTTTCAGGAATTAGCAAGGTATAGTTATTGTTTTTTCTTCAGAAAAATGAATTATAGAATTCACACTCCTTGACAACAAATCTGATTTTAAGAGACATTAAATGAGAGCATTTTTTTTGGAAAATACATCAAGCACCGACCATAGCTACTATTTCTTCCAGTCCTGGGATCTGAGGTCACCCATTATCGTTCTTTTCATCACCACTTTACAGTTTACCCATCTTTTTGTTTTCTCTGAACAGCATAATGCCCAGTTATTGTAAAGTGCTTCACGGTGATTCCTTGCATTCATCTCAATAATCTAGTATTGATTGTTCACAGGGTTTAGCTTCACTTTGCTCTAAAGTACGGTCTTGCAGGATTTCAGATCTGTTTTGCCACAATATAAAGTGTGATGGCTCTGTGAGTTGTTCCCTATTTTCAGATGTCCCACAGCAGAATCTTATATATTTCATATCTGTCGAGGGTCCAGAAATCTGATATAATCAATATGTTTCACTTCTGCACTGAGAATCTGTGTCTAACTTTGATTTGGCTACTTCTTCTTCTAAAGAGAGGTCTGTGGTGGAGGTTAATTGGTTTTGCAATTAATTCTGAAAACGTGGACTTACCATTTGTGTCCTATAGTCTAATTTAGCCTTTTCTTAAGGAGAAAATACATTTGATAACCCATAACTAGAAGTCCTGTCTATATAAACATCTTTCATCTAATCATGCTATTTATTTGAACTTTGTGTTTAAGCTGTGTTTCTTTAGAGTGGTTTCTTGAGAAGTGACACACAGACTGAAGAGTGTCACAAAGACCTGACAGTGACCTTAATCTCCTTCTTGTTACAGAAAGACCGCTTTTGTGTCTATGAAGAGTACTGCAGTAACCATGAAAAAGCCTTACGGCTCCTAATGGAGCTCAATAAGGTTCCAGAAGTCAGAACCTTCCTGCTGGTAAGTTTTTTTTTTCCATTTCAGTCTTATTTTATTCACTCTTTTTTTCAGTCGACGTTTTCGTTTTGTTTCCCACTGTCATGTTGGGGGAAAAAGCCGATGCACTCTAAGAGACCCAGTTTGGCCGTGATTAGATTATTCAGTTATCGTGCCGGCAGGGGTGAGGGTGGTACTGACTGGGGCGATTTAGCACCTTGAGCTGAAGCTTGGCTGTCTGAATCCTTGGGGTGTGGAAAGAAATCAAGGAAACCCATTCAGTTCTTCACAGCGGAGAGAAATTCTTCACTCCTCAGGCTTTGTTTATTGGTGCTGATCAAATGCAGTAAGCACGTTTCCTCTGTGTCATAGTCTGCGTAACACGGAAGATAACGTGCGCTGGAATATACACAAATTAAGAGCCTTGGATTTTGGTTTAGATGATATGCTTCAAAAATGATGAAACCTGAAAAATAAAGTGGTCCATTCTTTCACATCAACTAGACATCTGCAGTAATAAAACTGAAATCTGGAGAGTGTATGAAGAGGTCCTATGGTCTTTTGAAGGACTTCAGATATTTCTGTAATGGATATTCATGATACCTGGACAGCTTTTCAATAGGTCTGTTCATCATAATAGGCTGTCTTCTTGGGATGTGCCGGGGGCTTCCACAAGTGAAGATTTTGAAATTGGCCTATGTGCACTTCCTGGCAAAATGTTGTGTGAATGAAAAATTGTTCTTCCGTGCTGCTTCTCTGTCTCGACGATCGCAACTTCAGAATTGACATTAACTCTTCCATCAGATGGACATCATTTCATGATTTTCCTTACAATTGAGAGTGGAATATGGCAATGCAGTGCTGAACTAGGTGTTCTTTGATGTGGCTGGATTCTTGCTCAGGAATTATGTGTTCAAGTGGGTGCTTGCTGCTTTTCGGGCAACAACAGCAAGAGACTTGTGAGGTGCAGCTCCTTTTTCGACACCAGGTTTACTGTCTTTGCAGGGTATGGAGGAGTCTAGTGTGTGTGTTGCACATTTCACATTACATCCATGTGAACACTACAAGTGCATCATGGCAAAGTGCTGCAGTAACATGCAGTGTATTTCTAAAAATATTAGAACCCCTTTTTGGTCTCTGTCAGCTGCAATTTGTGGACAACTGCAAAAGTAATATTTTTGTGTCTGTAAAATGTTTGGGTTAATATTGAGATGTTTTCCAGATTGTACCGCTTTGGCAGTTTTACTACCCCAAGTAAAATAAACTCATGCAGATCTTGCAGTACTGAAACCTCAGTACTCGATAGCAATAGCTTTAATTTAGAGGCCTTGCCCAGAACTATAAGGTGTCAGGTATTAAAATACCTGAAATCATTTTGACATTTTCACATGCTGTGGCTCAGTTTTTTTTAAAGAAATTAAAACACTCCAGTCTTTACACTTTCTCTCATTAATGAACGAACACGACAGAACCATTGTCGTAGCTTAAGAGTCCCCAGCCCTGCGTGTTTGGTATTAAAATGCGATGGCTAGTTCATCTTAAATGTGGCAGGAAATGCTATATTAAGCTATCTGCAGCTTCACTTGATGTACTTATGTTTTTGTTCAAAAGGTATATCCAGTTTAGAAAAACAAGAAGTGGTTAAATATTGACCGACATGAATGCCATGTTGAAATTCATGATCTCAAACAGGAAATCCAGAGCTCTGACTTCCATCAGAAGGCTTTAAATGAGCTGACAGACACTATAGGTCTGAATGCAGATATATTTCTCCCTTTTCTGCTACAGCTGTATAACTGCTAGTATTTAGCAGTTAAGATGTGATATTTAATCAGATTTCAATCAAATGAATAATTGTTCTTCAAACCGTTTGGGGGGAAAACAGAAAAACGCTTACAGTTCACTTTTACTTTAGGTACAGTTTATGTTTGCATTGAGGCATTATCTGAACTCAGTCTACAAACATGAAATAAGTAATATCAATGTTTTTTTCAGTGATGTATTACTGATGTAACACATTATGATATATTACTGATGTATTGCATTTCTGGGTGCAATTTGAAGATAAAATTCCAATTTTTTGTGAAGATAGTTCAAGATTGACAAATGCAAGCAAGATGCTGTCTTGCATAATATAAGAGAAAGAAATGAAAAGAGATACTGTGTCCAGATCTTTTCTATGGACATTCAGTTCTACAGAGCCCCCCCTTTCCCTATCAGTCCCATCAGGCAAGATCAGATGTGGATTCCCTACTAGACTGAAGGGCTTTTTGTCCCTCATGTCCTTGACGGCCTCCAACTGTGTGTGTAAACACTAGTTCATTATGGAAATGGTCATCACGCAATGCACTGGCATACACATGTGTGAGATGTGCCTGTCAAAGGAGCTGTCATAAATTACTGAAACAAAAGCAACTCCAGCAGACTGGATTACCCAACCAAGGACGCATCCAAGCTGGACAGTTAAGGCCGTCTGAGGTGCTAAATGTTTTCTTTCTTTCCAGCACTGCATGCTGTTGGGGGGGAAGAAGACGACTGATATCCCACTGGAAGGATACCTGCTGACACCCATCCAGAGAATCTGCAAATACCCTCTCCTGTTGAAGGCAAGGCCATAAGAACACCGGTTACAACGTCTTGCACATTTGGTGGTCACTGGTAGTTTATCAATCCAGCAATCGTTGTACAGGAATTCCAGGGATCTAACTTCAACAACATCCCCATAACCTGTTTCGTAAGGCTTCCTGAGCTCACTACTAAAAACACACCCTCTTCATTTCCGGTCCTAGTTCGTCCTGTGGCTGTTCTTTTGATTGGCTTTGTCTGTAACTTTCAGTTTAAATGCTTTTTATTATGTTGTCCTGTAGTCTCCTATGTTCTAGAGGTAGGAGCTGTCCCTGTCTCTGCTCAGGCTGTCCCACCGTCTGCCTGTTCTTGAGGTTGTCCACTCTCCTGGTTTACCCACCCCACTTAACAAAACCCTGACAGACACTGCGACTGCAATACACAGACCTCCATAGCTGAGTGCCATTGTAAAGACTAAAATTTCCATAAATGTTTGCTCAACAGAAGAATAAAAAGGTGGAAAGTCTGAAGTTTTCCCCTGAGTTGTTCTGTTCTGCAAAAATTCCCAGAAGTTTGCAATTGCGATTTTCACACAAAGAACGAGCTTTGCTCCAGTGACAAGGAGCTGTCTGTATCTTCATTGTCAGAAATGTGCAACATTGCACTGCGTGAAGGTACGTCGCCTTCTTCCTGCCTCTTGAAGTGTATTTAAAAGGGGTTTTCTTTTCTCTGTTCCTTTTTCGTTTTCTGTTTCCCAATCTCTGTGTGGAAGAGACAGCACAATGTTTCAAAGTGAAACCTGAAAACCTGCAAATCTAGTATCTGGTTGTTTTACACCCTGAGCTGGAATTAATTCAGTGGTTAAGATTGTTTTGTCTGCAACAGTGAGGATAACAAACTACAAACACCAGTAGAACTGCTTGTTGCTAATCATCATATTAATCAAAAGCAAACGCCGCGGTTCAGTATAGTGAGGATAAAGATGACTCTGAGAGACTTTCATGTTTACTTAGGCTTGAAACTCAAACATGTTGAGCTGCTAAAGATGAAACCCTCCCATTTGGAAGGCGTTTTTTGGGACAGGACAGGAAGTTGACGTTACACACCGCTGACCGTCCCTGTGCCAGATAGTTAGGTCTGTGACCAGCCATTGTCAACGTCCATTCTTTCCACACACATTTCCAGCTTTATTTATCATAACACAGTAGTGACAGATAAATAAGAGAATAAGAGTCTTCTTTCCGGTTTACATCAGACACCCCATTAATGTTCACAACCCATCTCTAAACCTAACAAGCATTTTAAGATTAAACATAGCAGAAAAAAAGTTATAATTAGGGTTAGCTACCTTCATTCACTGTGAGGCAACACCTGGACTAAGAAAAGCACTGGGACAGCCCAGGAGCTCAGTATTGGAATACTTTTAACCAGATTTAACCAGTCCTTCACCTCGGTTTAAAGTGAAATTCTGACTCAAAAGCTTAGTTTGCATTCAAGTAAAGGCTTTTAGAGGCCTGCGACCTGAGGCCTGAGTTTTAAAAATGTCATCTGTTCCGCTCAATTTTTTGTCTGCCTTGATTATTCCATCTCTCACCTTGACAACACATCCGCGATACTCAAAAGTTTGTTGAAATTTTCTTGTGGTGGACCTCATTTTTTTTTAACTGGTTGCAAAAATGTGAGGACGTTCAAAGTTATCAATACATATTTCTTCAGCGGCTTTGATTTCTCCCTTTTCTTCTTTAATCAAAACACTATTTGTATTCTAAAAACAAACTAGCTTATGTTTCAGTTGCCAAAACTGATAGTCAGAGGTGCAATACAGAAGCCATTTGCTACTCTTCAAGACCTTGACTGTGAGAGAGATATGATTTCAGAATATTATCAAGAAAACTCCGGAAATGGACTAGTATTACGAGGTGTTTTAAGATTTGGCATCACTCACTGTAACATTCCTCAGACTCTTTAAACTTCCTGATCTAAAACAGAAGAAAAGTCCATACAGATCAGAATGGTGTAAGGGCAGACAACAAACTCACTGTCATTGTGTGCCTGTTCTCTTGTATGTTGTCATTCAGAATCTTGGCTTTCCTGTTTGTGTGCCCATGGTTATGGGGATTTCTGGTCTCAGCCTATTGAACTAGATCCCAAACTTTACTGCTGTTTGGATACTTATCCCTGTACTTTGTATTACATGAGTTTTGCCCATCTCTTCCACCCTTTAGTCACAAATCAACTCTTAATATCGTGAACAAGGAGATTTTTGTATAAAACCAGAGTAGGGGGCTTGGGATGGAGGCGTTCAGATGGCCGTTTCGAAACGGACCGCCCCGCTCCAGAGTTCCTCTCAGCCCCCCCTGCGCTTGTCCGCTTGCCCCCTCAGGAGCTGCTGAAGAGGACCCCGAAGAGTCACGCAGATCACCCGGCGGTGGAGCAGGCGCTGCAGGCCATGAAGACGGTCTGCTCTGACATCAACGAGACCAAGAGACAGATGGAAAAGCTGGAAGCTTTGGAGCAGCTCCAGTCGCACATCGAGGGATGGGAGGTGAGTGGTTCATTATTGCCAGTCTGTGACCGTCTTGTGAGATGACACTGCTGTTGTGGTGGAAGGAGTTTTACAGCAAACCTAGACTGCCCCAAAACGTGCTCAGTTCTGTTATGCATCCATGTGGGTCCTCATGCCCAAGTATAGCATTCAGGCGCACTATGGCTGCCGTTGCATCATCCACGTGGATGCTGCACATTGGTTGTGGCAGAGGGGATCCTCATTACCTGAATGCGCTTTGAGTGGAGTGTCCAGAAAAGCGCTATAAAAGTGTAAGAAATTATAATTATTATTATTATGCAGATTAGGGACTCCCAATATTTAGAATGTGTGGATTACATTCATCCTCCCATTTTGTTTTCGAAATTTAAGTTTTTCCTAGTTATAAGAGCAATGCTAGCTTAGCGACTGATACTGATTAAATGTTTTGCTGTCACTAAGATTGTTTAATTGACAGAAGTAATCTTGCTTTTTGAAGGGTGGCAAACAGCATTTAAGGAAGAGAGAGTGCGCTGTTCTGTTGAGACGTTTTTAGCGGACACGTTCGGATGAATAAGGAAATGAAAATGCTTATAAAAAAGGAAGTGTTCTGGTTTTTCACTGCTTATTCATGTGCTGTTGTGTGCTCAGTCCAAGAAATAATGTTGAAAAACATATTAAACCTGACATTCAGGTTTATTGTATCCTAATGTCATTTTTAGGTTTGTTATTTAATGTAAGTAGTTACAACATCATAAATAAGGTAAAAAGCCTTTACAATAAGTCAGTATCAAAACTATTTATATTGTTCTCCATAGTTCTTACTAACACATACAGTATAAATATAACTTGTTATAAATGATTAATTCAAGTAAGTGATTAATGTATTCCGTCTCAAAATGTTATTAGTGGGAAGGAAGTGAGGATTAAAGTCTAATGAGTAAATACTAATGACAAGGACAATGACTGAAATTCCTCTACCTTGTGTAGTTCAATGTCAAAACAGCAAGTACTGGCAGGCAGTGATGTCTGGAGGTATATCCTCTCACACCTTTTGTTAAAAATCTGTGCTGTATACTGTATATTTAAAGTATTCAAGCAGGAAGAGTAAAACAATGTGTGCAATTGCAAAGAGAGCCGGGCATTCCCCTGTCACTCAGGGTAATTCTGCTAGCTACTTCAGGACCCCTGGCTTCATTTTAGAAAGAACAACTGATCGCGATTTAAAGATGATAAAAGTTTGACTTGCAGTATGTGTCATTAAAGGAACTTGGCCTTTTCAAAGTTCAGGCAAAGTTCTCTACCTCTTTTTTTTGCTACATTTAATACACTGGTGGCTATTTCCAGCAGCACATTAAAGACTTAAAATTACAGATGTGTGAAGATGTGTGTAGATTATGCATTTACTTAAAATGATAGCCTGCTCTTTTCTCCTCTAACTACAGCCACTGTTACTCAAGGCTTTACGCCGATATTAGCATTAGCAAAAAAAAAATAAAATAAAAACAGCTATTGAACACTTGAGAAATCAGAATAATTTTTATTAACGCGGTATACTGTCATCCCACCACACCGCACCTTGATTATAAAAAAAATGGTCTTGCTATATCTTTCACTTAGCCATCATTGATTTTGTTAAATAATTGGAGAAACTTACGTCAGAAACTGAGAGACAGGAATAAACAAGTGAATTGATTCAAATAATAGGTCACAATATTCCATCTCCCGTTCATTAAAACCACTGATTACGTACGCACGGAAGAGTCTCTCTCACTAATGCAACACAAATGGCCAATTCCAGTTTTGTGCTCCTCTGTAATGAATTGACTTGTTCGGAGACACAAACAGGGAGAAATCATTATTTCTGCATTGATTGACCTGTGCAGTTACATGAGGTATGGGTGCTCTGTAAAAGTGGACAAAAAGTACTGAACAGTTATTAAATTATTGTAATGTAGAGCTCCTTCTGGATGGTGATTAATACAGTTTTATTGGCGAACACTTGGTGCTTATTTGCTGTTTTGAACAAATTCATTCCAAATGGCCGCCAACATCCAGAGTTTCCGTCCCCCAGGAGATAACCGTTTTGAATGGCTTCATTGTCCCCTGCATTGTCCATGAGGACTCATCTCAGCATTTTCAGCCACACTCCATAGATGCCATTTTGCTGAATCTGGGCTCTAAATAATCTGTGCATGTTGAGTGGTCAAGGCTTGAGGCAGGGCAGTTGACTGTTGGAAAATGATCCCAAACATTAATGTAACTTCTGAAAATACGAAAGCAAGCAATTTAAGGATTATCCCACAATCTAATCGGTGGAGTGATTAGATTACTGTCTTTTTCCTCTTGCCAATACCCTATTTAAAGACATATTTTAGCATGATCATTTTTTTTTGTGTTGGCTAAAGTATTTGAAGAAGCTGCCAGTGTTTGGAGCAAGTTGTGTATTCTCATGTGATATTTTCGCTCTGAAAGCAAGGATTAATCAGAAACGATGGCTGTGCAAAGCACCATGGGTTGGTACAAGTCAGGAAAAACAAGGTGGCACAGGAAAAGAAATTCATGCATAAAGGAACAAGCCAGAGCCTGTGACACTGCCGAAAAACCAAGAAACCTGTGATTGCACTGGGCTGGACATAGTAGGAAGAGCAAATCAGTGTGGATAAGTGGATCAGTGTTGGGCCCAGGAAATTCTGAATGGTAACTCATGGACTCAGACCAGCAGCAAGGCTACTCACAACATTGGATCATGGAGGGAAATTGTCTAAGGGTGTAACAGGGGTGGAAAGAGTAGCAGACCGAACTCTATGGACAGAGTCTGGGTAGGCCAATATCCAGAAGCAGATGGTTCCAGTGCTCTGCTACTGCTGCTGTTAGCTGAACTAAAATATCATGTGTATGAGCTTCTGATACAAGCTCATACATGTGATATTTTAGTTCATTTAGGAAATTGCCTTTCATGGTTTAAGTTGGTGTATTATCATTTGTCCCTTTATTGTGTTGTATAAACATTTTCTTTAATGTTGATGTTCCATCTCAAACCTTCTGTGTTTCCCAATACTACTCTTATGCTCATTAATTTAGAAAAATAATGAGTTAAAGATGGGTGTATTTAAGGTGAAGCTTTATGGGCTTGCAGGTTTTCTGCAGTAACACACTTCAGAGGACAGGCAGGCAGTAGGTGAATCCAGAAGTGTGTGGAGTTCGGTTTCAGATCTTGGTGTCTTTTTTACAGTATAGTGCCCCCATCACTACACTGGGGCATTAGGACCCACACAGACCACAGGGTGAGTGCCTTCTACTGGTCTCACTAACACCACTTCCAACAGCAAACTTAGTTTTTCCCAGGAGGTTTCTCATCCAGTACTGGCCAGGCTCATAACTGCTGAGCCTCAGTAGTTTGCCAGTTGTGAGTTTCAGAGTGATATAGCTGCTGGCAGATTTCCCAATATGCAATATGAATTATAAATTATGCAGCAGTTTAAAAGGAAACATCTTTTGGAATGGGATCAATGTTTTCTGGAAAATAAATCCCATGCAAAATACTGAATGTTAATAATGCAGAGCTAAAATAGATTGGAGAATACCACTGAATGTGCTTTCACTAAAGACTTTAGATTTTCCTTGTTAAGACAGCCAGGATGTACAGAAAAAAACGAATCTGAGACCAGGATAATATAACCCAATAACTGACGCAATTATGTTTTTAATTCATTTTCAAACCTTGCAGATTGCATGTTTTTTTCTTTTCAGGTTTTATCCGAAACAGATGAACTCAAAGTCAATTAGTTTGTAATGCAGATTTATTACTTTGATATTTAAATAAGGAAATAAATGATGAAGCACATTTTCATTCTGTATAGAATTTATCTTGTTTCTCCAGTTTGGACCAGTTTTCTTTTTATTGAGCTGATACACTGAATTGTCACACGATAATGAAAAGCTTACCTCTCGTATAAAAGTTTAGTATTGCTTTAAGGAAGATGAAAGGAAATAGAATGTCTTTTCAAGTATCCACGTTAGGAAGGAAGACTCGTTAAAAAAGTTTTCCCTTTTCTAAATATAAATCTGTGTCATATATTGGCATTGAAGTGTGACATTGTAGAGCCCTAATGGGTTTTAAAACTTCTCATCTAATCTCCTCCTGAAGTGGGCTGTGAAAAAGCCCGACTGAACCCAATACTTCTGAAAGGTCACAGGGCTGTTCATCTGAAATTGATCCAGCAGCTCTTTTGAAAGCCCTCAGTTTAAGAAAAAAATGAGATGTTTTTGTCTTCCCTGTGTGCTAATTGGGCTGCTGCGTTAGCAATAATAAAAGCCCCTTACGTAAATAAAAATGTTAAAATATCACAGTAATAAGGTCCCGAAAGCAGGGATGTGTATGAGTAAACTGTAAGCATCTTAAATGTATTTTTGTACTCAGATTAAAACACCCCCCACATACACCTCCAAATGTAACTGTAAAGGCTTTGAATCACTGTGCTCATGAGTAATAAGGTCAGAAAGTGCACAGGCTCATGTTGAAGTGTTTTAAGAGGTGCTTCCTAACTTTCTAAACCTGTTTTAAAAGTAAAACTTTTTGGCACGAGCTGAAAAATACATATCAGTCAGAAAAAATCAGAAGCCAGAACAAGCAAAAGGAATACATGTTCACTGACCTCACTGGTTCATTCGCCTTTTTTTAAGCCTTCACAGAGAAGAAGGGAGCCCATATACATTTTGTGATCTGTGCGTCACAGAGCAAGCAAGAACTGCAAACAAAAAAAGCAGTTTCAATCAAGCTGTGAAAAGGCTGAACATATACAGATTCTAACCTAGTAATTTGAGTTTCATTTAGAATATTTATCCCTCTGTTTTTACAGGGCACCAATCTGACTGACATTTGTACAGAGTTGCTTCTCTACGGCAGTTTACTTAAGATATCAGCTGGGAACATCCAAGAGAGAGTCTTCTTCCTGTTTGATAACCTCCTGGTGTACTGCAAGCGGAAATCCAGGTATGCAATTCCTTTTTTTGCCTCACAACTGAAGGACAGGTATCCTTTAAGACACAGGTAACATTTGTGTCACAGCTGCCTGACTCGATGCCAGGACAAAATCCATTAAGAGGTGATACTTGAATGGATTTTCCTGCAATCCCTTCATGTCAGATCTGTGCAGAAGCCATAGGGGTTACCATGCACTTGCTCCTCAGTGTGTGGGAACTGTGTGTGTGTTGGGGCTACAGCAGCATGATAATGGAATAGACTTCCTTCCTCTAAGGGAAACAGATGACAGGTGGAGGCCTGCTCCTTCGAAATGCTCACAAGGCAGCACATGTTAGCTGTAATTCAGAAAGAGCCGCTGCCTTCTGATGGAAATTAATCTCTTCTAACAGAGCAAACTGCAATCAGTGCAGTCAGTGGACCTAAGAAAGGTAGATGTCCTTTATTCATGCAAAATCAACATCCTCCTTGCTTGAAAGAATAATTTGATTTAAGGGCACATTTTTCAGATCCCGATTTAGTTGTTTTGTTGTGTGGGCTAATCAGATGTTTTTTCGTGCAGCTGTATTTGTGCAGCTCTATTGGAAAGCTTTAGTCTAAGTAAAATGAACTAAGCAAATTCAATTTTTCCTCATGCATCACAGCCAATACACAGATTGGCCACCTAGACTGCTTACAGGTGGGGGCTCAGCTATTGTGCAGGAGGGCCCTGTGTGTGCTCTGGTGCCGATGATCTCTGCTGTTTTTTAGCAGAGTGGCGGGGAAGAAATCTACAAAAAGGACCAAGTCGATCAATGGCCCCCTGTATGTCTTCAGGGGCAGGATCAACACTGAGGTGATGGAGGTGGAGAACGTCGAGGATGGAACAGGTGGGTGTCGGCAGTTAGGAGACATTGCGTGTTATTAAAAAGGGACAAAGTCAAAGCCTCCTACTCTCTCTCCATGTGCCGGGGCTCGTGAGTGGCTGAAGGCTTAATTAAGAAAAAAGATTTACTGTATCTGCACATGGCGGGTTGTAAGGATGCCAGCATGGAGGATTCTCATTTATTCTGACAAATTAATTGGCTAAAGCCAATGAAAATGGCGATACTTGTGTAGGTTGTGTTTAATACAGGAAATCAGGAACACATTGTATGAATTTGGCAGCACCTGTTGTGCAACCTAATATATAGGTATTGATGATGCTGAAAAAGCAGGTGGAGGTTCCTAGGCTCTGGAGTTGCATCCTTTTTGCCTTTTAATAGTGCGGTATTGTTGCCCAACACTTCTGTTCTTGGTACCCTCATATCTTTAATGAAAACACCAAAGAAACAAGCAGCCTAAGTGACAAAAACAACTTTTTTAGAATTATCTGTACTATTCTTGAGCCCTAGCAGTAATGTATTTTTGCCTGCAAGAATGTGTGAACCATGTGCAGCTGTTTTCTTCTGTTTTGCCTTTGGCACTGCGTGTGTGTGTGTGTGGTGTTAAGCATGTTTTGAGAGGATGTGGTGTCTTCTGCTCTCATCGCCCTGTTTGCTCTGTCACACCAGCCCCAGCACATGGGGGGTAGGTGGGGGGAGGGGCTCAAACCGCAGAGAACAACACCCCAGAAAGCTGGCTGTGTTGCGAAAACAGAGCGATGCGATAAGCCGCTCGTGCTTTTGGGGGGAGCTCATTCTGTCATATGCCACAGATTTGTGATTTCACCTTCAAAACCAGGCTCAGCGTTCGACTACTGTGCCTTGGCTGCCAGCTGCTTTGTGTGCATCTAGATAAACAGTTTTTTTTGGTGTTTCCTGAACTCACTTTAAAAACAGAGACGGTAGCTCTGTAACTTGGGTTATGTATAAGTGTAGCTATCAATATTTAGACATAAAACCTTTATCGGTTTTTATATTGTAAAAATACTATATATATATTCGATATAAAAGTGGGTGCTTTACGTCATGGTGAAGGCCTGCACTTTTTCTGATTGTCTGATGCATTTTCACATCTTCCTGATCACCACAGCAGACAGAAGGTTTGTAGTAAAAAAGCTTTTCATTCATTCAAAGTATCATGTCCATCTCAAAATTAGTTTAATTTATTTTTTGCATCTGGAAAGAGCAAGAAAAATAATCTTTCATGGTCATGGCTTAGATGCTGTTACAGAGCTGGCCACTTCTCTGACTTATTTATATAATTATAATAGTACTGGTTAGCGACTATTGGGGTTGAACCTCAGAGGACTTTTGGCTAAACTAGTGTTCAAACACAGGCTTCCCCAGGGACAATTTGACTTTTTCACTGTAGTTCAGTTTTGGCTCTTGGATTCTTACATGTAGCTGAAATGCTACTGTATTCCAGCAGCGTAGTGCGCATATCCATTGTCAGTTGCCATGGATGCTGTGTGGCTTGCTTAGGGAGAATTCCATGGAAATTCTGAAAAAAAAGAACCTTTGATTAGAGACAATAGCAACATAGTGCAGTGGTCACCTCTGCTTTTCAAGTGCTCATTAGTGTACTTTTGTTCCATTTGAATCTAGCAAGATAGAGACCTAAGTTGCTAAAGAGAAATTTAAAAAATATTGGCATGGGTTAGAAGATGATAAGTGTTGGCTGTAAAGCATATAGACGTATGCATTTCCTTTGTTTGATAGACTACAATATATGCCCATAGTCTGATAATATAAGATTAAGTGTTTGCAATGACAACAAGAAGGGAAAAAAAATTACTTTTAAACAGTATTTTTAGACTAGGCTTCAAAGCATGCAACGTGTGACCATGATTGCCAGATTTTATTTTTGATGGTGTTGCAGAGCAGCAAAATGCTCTGTCACCCACAGACATGCAGTGGGAATACATGGTAAACCAGAATCACCTGAGCAAAGGGCTCACAGAGAAGAGCAAGCATTCATAGACTGATGCACATTGAATAGATACTGGAGAGCCAGGCCAAGTTGTATCTTCAGCTTAGGCAGAGGGATTTTGAAATTAGCTTCCCAGGAATCAAGTGTAAAGACTCCAGGACAGGACTTATATGATCACCACAAGAAAAAAACACTTTATAACTTGTGGATATTATGAAGTTCTGGGTAATATTATGAGTATTATGGATTTTAAGATGTTAATGGGGTGTTCCTCATCAACCGTCTCTTGTATTTTCCAGATTTATGGGGTAGTGTTCCCCATAAACAGAATCATCCCTTAGTACTGTTTGAAGTGACCCCAACACTGTTAATCACATGCAATTTTTATGTTGTTGTTTTTGCTTTAACGGTTTTTCTTCCACAATTAATATTATGGTAATTGTTTTGTTATTGTGCATCCAGCAACACTCTACAATTTGCATTAGATATACTGGATGTAAAGACTTTTATAATAACTATATAATATAAAAATATTCTAATCTTCTTCTGGAATGTGAATATTTTTTAAAATATAATTACAAGGTTGCAACTGTGTTGTTCGTAATAAAATAAGAGACTCTTAGGAAACACAGTGGGATTAGGTCAGCTGGTCGAAATATTACTTATTACTCATTTCTATATCGTCTCATATTAATTAAATTAAAACTGTCAGAGTCAAAGGAGAACCCCCCGACCCCTCTCATTGCCAAGTTATTTCAGACAAATGTGATTTATGGGAACCTTTGTGTCCCAAGGGAATTCTGAGCTTGAATTTATTTTATCGTCCTCCCATTACACATGCTCTTCAGAGTCTAATTATTCATGTGATTAAGTTCATCTCGCATTAACACTTGTGTTATATTTAAATATTATTCCCCTTAGGCTCTTCTGAATTTTCCAAATGAACACAATTCGTATTTCTGCACCGCGAGAAACTTCTTTTCAGACTTTGAATGAACACCAAATAACTCTTGTCTTGCTACTTCTTCAGAAAGGTTATTGACCGTGCAAGGCCAGTCGTAACAGGTCATGAACATATGGACGTAGGGCAGTGAATTAAGTAGAGGTGTATCCTATAAGCAGAGACTGGCTTCTGTCTACACTTTTAGATAAGACTGTTACAACTAAATGGAGTTCGTAAATCGCCTGGGATGAAGACAAGCCACAGTTATTCCCAGTCCAGGCTCAGGCTGATGGTTCTTAGTCCTATTCCTGTGTCTGCTGATATTTGTTCCAAATGGGCCCTTAGCCACTAGTGCCTGTAACTGATGTGCATGTACGTTTTCTGCTAGTCCTGGCAGAAAAGGACTGCTCCTACGTCTGGGCCCCATTTCCTCCGACCCTTCGCCACGCTGGAAATGAGCTGTTTGCTCGCAGAATTTCATTCCTTGCCTCTCGTTTGTTTTCGTGTTGTTTATTTTTGCAGCCGACTACCACAGCAATAACTACACGGTGACGAACGGCTGGAAAGTCCACAACACGGCGAAGAACAAGTGGTTCGTCTGCATGGCCAAGAACGCTGAGGAGAAACAGAAATGGCTGGATGCCATCCTGAAGGAGCGAGAGCAGAGAGAGAGTGAGTCGCAGAACCGAATGTTATCTGTTTTGGGTATGGGCTTTGTTTTATGTAGTTGGCCGACCACCTCCCAGTATCTGACTATCTCCAGTGCTCAGCAGATAACCAGAGCAGATGTTTGTGGACCGGGGAGCTAAGATCCTCTCAGTGCCATCCGAGGCTGGTCCAGGAGGAACGTGTGCCATTTGCAACAGGAGGTGGTGTTGTGACAGTAGAATTCATGGCCTTTCTTCAGCCTCCACTGCCTTTCCTCTCTTCCCAGGGTTAATGTTCACGCGCTTCTGGCTAGACATCTGCTGTCTAGCACAGCCTTCTTTCTTTGGGTGATTTTGGCAGCACAGGTCCTAATTAAAACAGGTTTTCTCTGGTGTGCGCCGCTAAAGACCCCTCTATAAACCGAGACTCCCGCCAACCAGCAAGGACCTGGCATCCAGCACTGGCAGTCTGCTTGTAAAAACCCCCTCAAACTAATATGTTAACTTGCCATGGATGAAACACAGGACTTCTGTAAGGGAGTGCAAGTCATTTTGCATCCGATAGAGAAGTCCTTTTTTAATTATCTTGTACCCAGCAGTGGGAATGGGGCACCTTAGTTTAATGGGGAGGCCTTTGGACCTACAATGACAGGTTGTGGGTTCGAGTCCCTGCTGCAGACACTGCTGTTGTAGCTTGAGTGAGGTTCATGACCCTAACTGCTCCAGCCTGCCCTGCTGTGGAAGTGGGGGGCAATATTGTGTGTGTGTGTGTGTGTGTGGGATCTCTGCATCTCTTTGTGGGTGTCACATGCTCTTTAGTCCACTTACTCCTACGGAAACCAGGTTAGGATCTGGCCTGTCCTGGTACAGCAGACAGAGGTTAGGTCCAGACCAAAGTACCAAATATTGTATTATATAAATATACCCTCACAAATGCTGATTAAGAATAGAAGCCTTGAAACATTTTGACCCATTTGGAAAATTGAGTGACACCCTAAACTGCCTTTTAGGGAATTTGAACAAAGTTATTTTTAGATGGAGTTTGTTTTGTACTTGGGTTACGCAGGGTGTCTGGTCGAAGCCTGTTTCACAGCTGTAGGAAGTATCAATTGTTTTGCTCTTTAGCCACTCAAGGGTGGAGGAAGAACCGAGGACACTTATCAGAGGTCTCGATCTCTGACAGACCTTATTTCCTGAAAACAAATTGTTCACCCCAGTCTTGAAATATAGAAGCAATGGCAGGATGCCTGACAAACCACCACCTATCAAAAGATAACGAATGCTGAGCGTATTCTCTAAATTTCAACCGCAGTCATGGCCGCCAGTCATTTTTACCAGATTTCTAAATATCTGTTAATATTTCGCCACCTGACTTTGACCTCGTCTATTTTCAGTGCTCACAAAGCATAATAAAAAAATCATGGTAACACAGACATTGACCTGTTATAAATTACTGCAGTCCATTATTGATATATTGGTTGATATTCATGTACTTATCTATACATTTATGTACTGTTAACAGGCCAATGTTTTCTAGCCTTAGCCAGTTTTCCTAGCAGTGGAGCTCAGGAAAGTGCCAAAGTGGTTTCTTAAGGAATCCCAGCATGATAGCATCCAGTGTGTGCAATACATTTGGGGGACGATTCGGGTGGGGAAGATTAGACAGATTCCTGAATGTGCACTTACTGTTCAGAACAGGAATTCTGGTGTGCCTGTTCTGTTCTTTTCTGGATATTGATTATGAACAGAACAAGGCATGAGGACTTAATGAGCTCAGCGTTTCGCCATGAATTGCCATAGCTAGGCAGCTTCTGAGCCAGAAGAAGCAATATCTTCTGAAATGTGCTGCTTGTTTCATCACACACAGAACCCTATCCAGGCATTCTTTCCTGTCAGTAATAGAGTGCAAAGGGTCACTACAAAATAGCTGGCAGAGCTTAATGCTCTGAGCCATGGTATCAGCTCATTCATATGAGCCCTGAAAAACATATTCTCGGTCCTGTCTCAGAAATTCCAATTGCCTGTCTTCTCAAGCTTTGAGCAATCACCAGAGGCTCTCCAAAGCGTGTGTTGCACAACGCAAAGGCTACTGTGCAAGCAGGGAGATGCAGGAGACTGAGGAAAGGAGTAACAAAGTTCAGCACCATGCCTGAAGCGTGTGATTTCTGGGAGCTTCAATACTGACCCCACACTCTGCACCTTCTATTTTCCTCAGCAATAAGACACTTCAGTAGCATTTTTTTTTCTCAGAACTAGAGCAAGGCGATTTCCTAATCCACCTGGGTAAGGCAGATAGATTTAGATATTATTTTAAAAGCTGCCTTGTTTAAAGGTATGAAATCAGTTCTGGACTTTATCTCCACTTGACTCTTTTTGCTGTTTTCAAAGGAAGTGCTCAGGGCAAGATAAGAATCCCAGGAGTTATTCAAGACATATAACCCAGCACAATGGTCCAGTAGCTGTTGTAAACAAATGTCATAGGGGGTTGAAACTCACTATATTACATTGAAAATACACAGTCATTCTCTTGTAGGCCCCAGTTCTTAAACAGCAGGGACAATACATGGGATGGAAATTGCACATGTGAAGCGTTTATTTGCTTCGTTGTGACATTCCCTTGAAAGGTTCTCTAGGGTCGTCGGTGTTTCCAGTGTCTCAGAGCTGTGCATCTTAAAGAAAAGAGAATGGAGCTAAATATGCTGCTGTCAATCAAATTCCTTGACAATACTTTCTTTGTAAATGAAAGCAGTAAATGTCAAATACAGATTTGGAACTAATACGGGCAGCGAATGGAAGCTTCTTCTCTATGAGAGGCTATAGTAGAACGGTAATACTAACTGCACCAGTACTATGGAGTAGTTGCGTTAGTATGTTGTAGGTGTTGTAGTTGATATATTAGTTATGGTAGAAGTAGTCACTGTATTTTCAAAAGTAGTAATCGTTATACGGGTGGTAGCTGCAGGAACACTACAGAACTAACTCTGTGCAGTTGGCCTTATATTTCCAAACAACAGATGCCATAGGAGTCATTTTCTTTTTAGTTAAGTCTACTTAAATCCTATGAGTGGAAACATCATTGATGGATTAATTCATCTGCATTTCTCTTACTCTTCCAGTATTTATGTTTTGTGGGACTTGGAAGATTTTTCTTTGTTTATCTGCATGATACCCATGTGTTGGCTGACTAAGTCACATCATATAAATGTGGTGACAACACAGAATTCTTGTTGCGGGGCAAATATTTAGACTTTTGGGGATGTTGGTGAAACATGCTTCACAATGGACAGAGCGGTGGCACTGTGGCTCAGGATCTGCACCTGTTGGCCGGAAGGTTGGCGGTTCAGATCCCGTGGTCGGCAGAGGAATCCTACTCCGTTGGGCCCCTGAGTAAGACCCTCAACCCCAGCTGCTCCAGGGGCGCTGTACAATGGCTGATCCTGCGCTCTGACCCCAGGCTTCTTTCTGTGTCTGTGTCTCATGGAGAACAAGCTGGGGTATGCGAAAAGATGAATTCCTAATGCGAGAAATTGTATATGGCTATCTTATCTTACAATGTTGCCTCAACCAAAGTCTTTAATTAATACAGTACTGATATAATATTGAAACTTCTTTTTTTGAAACATCTCGATAAAACATCCCAAAAAACATATCCTAAAAGCAGGAACCCAGATGCCTGTTTGTACCCTGGCTGCAACATCCTGTTAGTGGATGGGCTACAGCCCTTTTCAAGGTTTGACCACTTGAACGAACAGCAAACATTCACGTCATTGTTGATCAATCAGTCAGTCCAGTAATTCAGTTTTAAGTCTCCCGGATCCCGTTTCCCACGTGCTGAAAAACAGCAACCCGGGAGCCGACTGGTGGAGTAATGCAATGATTGTGGGCCTCAAGCTTGTGTCATGTCACAGACCTGGGACTGTAAAAGGACTGATCAGGATTCCCCAAACGATGGCGCACAATTAACAGGCTGGGATTAGTCTCAAACCAACAGTCACCTTGAGGTCTCCTGGGGCTTGCAGGCACTCCTTCTCCGATTTGCTCTGAACCTCTGGTACGGGCCCGTGCTGCCTGTGATGGTTTAAAGGAGCAGTGTCTTAAAGGGGGGCTCCTACATACTTATGCTCCCCTGTGTGGGGTTACTGGGCTGACAAACTGATATGGGGAAGACATGCAGTTGACTATTTTAAATCTAGGAAGTCTAGCAGAATAATTGGATTTGCAAATTAAAAATAAGAATACAAATATATTGCACAACGTGGTTATCATAGATGATATTGTGGGGAAAAGCTATTATTGCACAGGCTCTTGTGGATGGACACACTAGGCTCCAGTGTATAAAAATCGGCTGCTTCGACAGAGGCCGTCAGAATCCAGCAGCTGGCTGGGCTGGGCTGGAACCTGATGAGCTCTCCAAGCAGCTGGGCTTGGCTGGAAGACCTCATTTGGAATCTCTTTTCTTCAAAGCCCCTCTTTGTTCCTTGTGCTCCAGCTGCTGTGTGCCATAATCTGGCCTGCCCTTTTATTATGAAGCAGTTCAGAACCCAGTCCACTCTGCTTGTAACACTGCATATTTCCTCTTGGAATGCAAGAGAAAAACAATCCACTGAAATGTAGCTGCTCATTCCACTAGAGTACAGTCTGTACTTTGCAGAAGGGTGAGACAGGCATTTTCTCCTAAATAGAAAGGTTGTAAGATTTACGGTCCTCATGTGATCCAACTTCCTAAATTTATTATGAAGTGCATTAATTGCCAGATTTATAAAAATGGTAATACCCAGTGTTATATTTCTTTATTACATACTGTAGTTCAGAGATTGATTGCTTGATTTATTTTTTTAAGGTTAACTGGATTTATCTTATGACTGAAAATAGTTGCTGTTAATGTAGGTCAGACAATAAGGACTTTCTACTTTCTGAATTAGTAAATCAGCCATGTGTCCAGGAACCAGAACTGACTAGGTGTCCATGTTCTCTGTCATACACACAGATGTATGTAAAATCAAATCACTATTCCTGATAAATATTCACACAACAACAAAAACTTAGGTCATTGGACTGTGTAAATTGTGTACTGATTTGTAACACTTTGGATTAATTGCTCCTAATTACTCATGATTTGCAGTGCACTGAGCTCGTAGGAGCTTTTTACACACAAGACGGATGGAATTCTTACTTCGTAGGGCAGCCTTATTTTATTATTTTCCTGAAGAAAATGTCAGTTTTTCCAACCAGAACAAAAAAGTTTATTTCCCCGGGGCATAATTCTTTTCTTTGTTTAGATTGGCATCAGGCAGGATCACTGTGCTTTTATGCCAGGTTTGGTAGGAGTCATGTGAATCGGTATCAGCTCTGTGCAAGAAGCTAGATTGAAATCTTCCCTCTAATTTGTCTTTCTTTATTCTTTCTCATTGTGCACTGTGACTGCAGGGTTTCCAAAACACCAGTATGCGTGCCAGCTAACAATACTGTAAACACCTTTATAATGCAGTCTTTTTACCATATCTTTTTAAATGTGCTTTGCCAGTCCTTTCTTTCCTTGACCATGTTGAAATAGGCTGGTCTCATCTATGTTTTACTATCTGCTTTAGGCAACTCTTGGTTCATTAACAATTTTCATAAGTAGGCTGTGAAGCAAAGATTTTGAGGGATATCAGTGCTACCTACTGTATCCAGGAATGTAAGCCAAGGAGATAGCTATAAGTTGAAGGCATTTGTAAATATGAAATAGTGAGCAGAATTAAAGTTTTCCTTTCTTTGACCGGATTGAAAAAACATGTCTTTTTCCTCAGGTACCTGCAGGCAGAACACATCTGATGTATAATTTCAAAACAAAGCAGTTACATGAAATCTCAGATTTCAGATGCAAATTCCATCCTCTGCCAGTTACAGCACAAGGTCAATGCTTATAAAGTGCACCAACCCTGAGAAGACAGACTGACTTTCGAAAGTGTGTCCACTAACCACATCCACCCCTGTGCAGATATCTTCTTAGAAGTCTTCTTTTAATGTAAAACTAAAACATACATCATTAATATACTATGATGTGATAACGGTAATTATCTACATGTATATGTTTGGTAGCATAGTGGCACAATGTCACCACACATCAGCTCTCAGTGGGGAGGAGAACAGAGTGATGAAGCCAATTCATAGATGGGGATTGTTAGGAGGCCAATGGGAAATTTGGCCAAGACACTGAGGTTACATCCCTATAATTTTTGATTGATTGATTTTTGATTATTATGATTTTTAATAACCACAGAGAGTCAGGATCTCTCACCCTGTGGTCCAGGTGGGTCCTAATACCCCAGTATAGTGACCGGGACACTATACTGTAAATAAGCGCCGTCCTTCGGATGAGACGTAAAACTGAGGTCCTGACTCTCTGTGGTCATTAAAAATCCCAGGGTGTTTCTCGAAAAGAGTAGGGGTGTAACCCCGGTGTCCTGGCCAAATTTCCCATGCTTACTAATAATCCCCCTCTATGAATTGGCTACATTACTTTGTTCTCCTCCCCCCCCCTCCCCCTCCCTCCGACGGCAGGCGGAGCAACGCGCCGGTTGGAGTGTTCTCGGTCGCAGTTAATGGCAATGTCAGCTCAAAGATTTGGTTCAAACCACCAAATGGAGACAGGCATGCCGACAAGCGGACCCTGCTGATGCGGGATTAACGCTAGTAAAGAGAGAGAGATTCAGAACCTCGGTTTTACATCTCATCCAATTTATAGCACATTTTTTTTGATGGGTTAATTGACTTTTAGGATAATTATCCCTGGTGTGAGTGCGTACATGTTTGTGTCTGTGTATCTGCCCTGAGGTAGACTGGTCCCGTCCAGGGTGTACCCTGCTTCCATTGCTTGCCAGGATAGGCTCTGGTTCCCCTCCGACCCCGAAAAGCTGTTAGAAAATGGATGTCTAGATAATTTTAAGCAGTTTGTTTCTAGTGTTACATTACCAACAAGGGTCAACAGAAAATGAGCATGTTTTTGAAAATCTGATGGGATAGAAATAATGCAATGGAGAAAAAATGTGTACTGCTGAAATGGGTTTAGTTTATCCCTCTGTTTCCTTGCTGCTTCTTTTGGCCTGTTAACTGCATTCTGAAAGTAAGTATCCAACCGGTAAAACAAGTTAATGAAGTCAATGTGTGGAAAGCAGTGCCATTGCACTCTTTATTCTTAAATGTTTTTGACTGAGTGGTAAATTATTACTACTGTTACACATTATTTGTGCAGGAAAAATGTATCTGCTGTTGCATTCAGAACCCCGGCACCTCAGATCTGCAGTGTGTGATGGTTGTGCTCTGCATTTTGCAGGCCTGAAGTTAGGCATGGAGCGCGATGCCTATGTCATGATCTCCGAGAAGGGGGAGAAGCTCTATCACATGTTGATGACCAAGAGCAAACACATGATCAAGGACCGGCGCAGGAAACTCAGCATCGTCCCCAAGTGCTTCCTGGGAAAGTAAGTGGACGCGATGCGTG